ATTTCTCTTTTCATCACTTGTAGGACACTGACTTGAGCTTAGTTTGAAGTGGCCTGCAAGTGGACAATTAACAGGCTTTGCTTTGTCCATATTGAACCTCTCAAGAACCTTTTTAATATAATTCTCTTGAGATAACCAAATCAGCCCATGTGATCTGTCACGAACAATTCTCATCCCAAGAATTTGCTTTGCTGGACCCAAATCCTTCATGGCAAAGGACTTACTCAACTCTGACTTCAACTTGCTAATCTTACTCGTGTCTTGGCCCACAATAAGCATATCATCAACGTAAAGCAAGAGAATAATAAAATTACCATCTTTATATTTCTTCACAAACACACAATGGTCTGAAGTGGTTCTTGAATACCCATTCTCACTCATGAAAGCATCGAATTTTCTGTACCACTGCCTCGGTGCTTGCTTCAATCCATACAAGCTCTTCTTCAATTTGCAAACTAACTGATCATTACCCTTATCTTTGAAGCCCTCAGGTTGCTCCATATAAATTTCCTCTTCTAAGTCACCATGCAAAAATGCGGTCTTCACATCAAGCTGCTCAACTTCTAAATTCATACTCGCAGCTATACCAAGCACAGTTCGAATGGAGGACATCTTCACAACTGGTGAGAAGATCTCATCAAAATCAACTCCCTTTCTCTGATCAAAACCTTTCACGACAAGTCGTGCCTTGAATCTCGGTTGAGAACTGTTCCCATCATTCTTTCGTCTGAAGACCCATTTATTTTTCAAAATTTTCTTCCCTTTAGGCGGCTTCACCAAATCATAGGTGTGATTCTCATGCAAAGACTTCATTTCCTCTTTCATTGCCTTGAACCATTCAGTTTTGTTCTCATGCTTCAAGACTTCTTGATAAGTCCCTGGCTCCCCCTGATCTGATATCATCACATACTCATTTGAAGAATATTTTCTGGATGACTGTTTTTCTCTAGTAGATCTCCTTAACGGTGTCTGTGGTAGTGGCTCTTGGGGTGGTTGCTCCCCCTCAATCTCTGGCTCAACATCATCTTCTGCTGCATCATCATGAGGTGTTTGCACTTCCTCATCAATATCATGAACAGCAGAGGGATTGAGAGGATCTAAATCAACAAGATCATCAGTACTAGACTCAGCTGACTCAAGCTTGTCGATGTCTTCAATAGTCTGATCTTCCAAGAAAACAACATCTCGGCTTCTGACAACTTTCTTGTCAACTGTATCATACAACCTGTATCCAAATTCTTCATGCCCATAGCCAAGAAATATGCATTGCTTTGCTTTTGGATCAAGCTTGGACCTTTCATCTTTTGGAATATGAACAAAAGCTCTGCAGCCGAATACCCTCAAGTGATCATAGGAGACTTCCTTCCCTGTCCAAACTTTCTCTGGCACATCACCATTCAACGGAACTGAAGGAGACAAATTGATAAGATCAACTGCGGTCCTCATTGCCTCACCCCAAAAGGATCTTGGCAATTTAGAATGTGAGAGCAAACATCTGACTCTCTCAAGAATGGTGCGATTCATTCTCTCTGCAACCCCGTTCTGTTGAGGTGTCTTTTTAACTGTCTTTTCATGCCTGATACCATGATTTGTGCAATACTGATCAAATGGTCCAATATATTCACCACCATTATCCGAGCGAACACATTTCAACTGTCTACCTGTTTCTCTTTCAACCTTGGCCTGAAAAATCTTAAACACATCTAGAACTTGATCTTTAGTTTTCAGTGTATAAGCCCAAACTTTTCTAGAGTGATCATCAATAAAAGTGACAAAGTATAGAGCACCACCAAGTGTCCTAACTTTCAAAGGACCACATACATCAGAATGTACCAAATCTAAAACATGAGATTTTCTAGATGCAATGTTTCTACGGAATGATATTCTGTTTTGTTTACCATGGAAACAATGAACACAAGTTTTCAAAGGCGTACCTTTTATCCCCACTAGAAGCTCTTTCTTGGACAAAACTTGCAATCCTTTTTCACTCATATGTCCAAGCCTTCTATGCCATAAATCAGTGGATGAGTCATTCTCTAAGGTATTCACAACACCCTTGCAGATTTTTGCTTGCATAGTGTAAAGAGAACAAGTCTTCTTTCCTTTTGCTACCACTAGAGAACCTTTGGAGAGCTTCCATTTTCCATTACTGAAATTGTTGATGTAGCCTTCATCATCTAACTTTCCAGCAGAGATTAAATTGAGTCGAATATCTGGTACATGCCTCACATCTCTAAGCAGCAATTTGCATCCAATATTTGTTTCCAAGCAAATGTCACCCATGCCGACAATTTTTGACACATCTTCATTTCCCATACGGACATTCCCAAAATCACCTTGTGAGTAAGAAGTAAAGAAATCAGCCCGCGAAGTAACATGAAATGAAGCTCCAGAATCAATTACCCAATCCGTCTCTTGGCCAATCAAATTAACGCTAGCATCATCACGGATAATCATGAGTTCATCATCGGTAACTACAGCTGTATCAATTTGCTTTTTCTCTGAATTTTTCTCTTTGTTCTGCTCCTTGAACTTGAGTTTTCTACATTCCCGCTTCATGTGCCCTTTCTTGTGACAATAATAGCATTCAACATCCTTTTTTGACATCGAGCTTGAACGACCTCTAGATTTATCACGGTTGTGCGGAACCCTACTCTTACTCCTGCCTCTCCCCCGGTTTTCCATTACAAGTGCCTCGGAGTAAGAAGAACCTGATGATTTTCTTCTTGTTTCTTCATTCAACAAACTGCTGGTAACTTGACTCATTGTTACCACTCCATCAGGTGCGGAGTTACTAACTGTGACCACCAAAGTTTCCCAGCTTTCGGGAAGTGAACTAAGAAGTAACAAAGCTTGCAACTCATCATCAAAAGTAATTTTCATGGCGGCCAACTGATTCACAATGCTCTTAATCTCATTCAAATGCTCTGCAATAGAAGTACCCTCCTTATATTTAGAGTTCACAAGCTTTCGAAATAAAAAGGCTTTATTCACTGCCGTCTTTCTATCATACAAACTCTCCAATTTGGTCCAAAGACCATGTGCAGATTTTTCTGTAGAGACATGATGAAAGACACTATCATCAATCCATTGCCGAATAAAACCGACAGCTTTCCGGTCTAGCTTTTTCCACTCGTCATCTTTCATCCCTTCCGGTTTGCCACTATCACCCTCTATGGGTCCATTCAAATCTTTACAAAATAAAAGATCTTCCATTTTAGTTTTCCAAGTCACCCAATTTGTGCCATTGAAACTAACCATACGTCCAACGTTGCCGTCCATAATTCACACACAGAAATATAACGAATCGGAACCGAATTAACCAATTGCTCTGATACCAGATGTTGGGAAAATAGGCTTTCCCACAAGTGTAAATCAATGGAAGCAATATAAATAAAATAACAGAAAATAAATAAGCACACAAGATTTACGTGGTTCCCTCAAATAACTTGAGGTACATCCACGACGACCGGTAGGTCAGTTTCTTCCACTATCACCAAATCAGATTACAAAGTGGCCAAAAGGCATAAGCCTTACAAACACACCAAGGTGTAAATCACAAGAGGAAAATACCTCACAAAATAAGTGAACCAAATCTCCAAGAACAAACCGCAAGAAACCCAAATATCAAGTGAAGAAATGTTACCCACTTGAAGAACAAATTTGCAGATTTTTCTGGCACCAAAAAGGAGAAGAAGAAGGCTGAATTTTTGTTGAACCAAAGACTGCCGAAAATATGTCTTCTTGCCAAACCAACAGAGAAGAGATGAACCAAAGAAAAAGACAAAACTTATAGGTGGCTGCCAAATTCCTTTTAACTTGAAGACTCCAAACCAAGTCTTGGATAAGAGTCATACACGGGTAAGCCACCAAAAAATTAGGAAATTGATGAGTCCCACAAAGGAGGGAAACCCAACATTAGTTGCTATAAGCAAGCCAATTGAAGACAAAAAAAAAGTTTTTTGGCTGTTGAATGGTCTAGGTTCTGAATATAAAGCATTTGTCACAACCATGCTTAAACCACCAACACCATGTTACAATGAGATCATAACACTTTTGCAAAGCCATGAAACATGACTGCACATGAAATGCAAGTTTCGAGTACTCCAACAGTTGCCTGTGTGGGTCAAAAGACACGTGCTCTTTTTCAAAAGAAACAAGGTGGCAATAATTTCTCTTTAAGAGGTAGAGGATTTACTAAATTCAGCCAACATAGTAAGGGCAATCATACTTTTAGTGCTTCACTCAATACCAATAATCAAGTGTCCCAGCAATCGAATCCAAGAGAGCATGGGTAGATATTTTAATTTTGGGTCCAGTGCATCTTGTCAAATTTGCGGTAAGAAAACCATACTGCTCTTAGATGTTGGCACAGATTATTTAATCAGTCCTTTGCTCCCAATGATATTCCATAGGTTCTTGCTGCTATAACTATCACAGATAGGCAAGACAATGCATGGTTTCCAAATACAGGAGCTTCCACCCACATGACCGGTGATTCAAGTACTTTGGTTAATCTAAAAAATTATAACGGACATGATCGTGTTATGGTTGGAAATGGTGATATGCTAAACATATCTCATACTGGCGATGCTTTTTTTAACACTGCTAATGGCCAGATGATTATGAAAATGTCCTTTTAGTGCCTGAGCTCAAGAAAAATCTGTTTTCCGTGAGTCAATTTACTTCTGACAATCCATGCTGCTTTGTATATATATATATATATATATATATATATATATATATATAAATTTCTGTGACTAAGATCTAGACATGCATTTAACTCGAATGAATCCTTATCTGAACAATTTATCCACAAATTATTCATTTATATATATATATACAACCAACTAAATTATCAAAATTTAATTTTTATTTCATTCTCACAATTACAATTAGCAGCAGGAAAAAATCATGTGACATTCTTCCACAAGTTTATTACAGATGTTGCACCCTTCCTCAGCCTCATCGAGGAAAACGTATTATCCATGGTCCTTCGTTTAAGACTTGACATTATCAAATTTAGCTGCACCAAAAAATAATAATTAATGAAGAAAAATTAGTTTTAAACGTAAAGAAATTAGAATTGTGAATTCTAGAATTGTGATTATGTACAAAAAAATGAGATATGGTATCGAAAAGATTTAACTGAGCGATGTGAATTGTGGACAAATTATTCCTGAGCACTGGTACCTGCAAGCTCTTTTGCACCACAATCAACGTCGCACTTCATTTCACAGAAGGTGTAGCCATTGCCTTCGGCTGAGCAATCCTTGTGGCAGGGCTCGTAGCATGACTTGTACACTTCTTCATCCGCTACAGCCTCATGAACGTGCATTGCCGCCAGAACAACAATGCACATCACAAACACTGCAACAAATTTCTTCGCCATTCTCTCTCTCTCTCTTCCTATCGTGTCTTCTTCTTTTTTTGTTTCTTGCTTTTGTTTCACTGTTTCTTTGGACAGCATCGATGGACAAGGGTATTTATAGAAACTACATAGTTTTGTCTTGGGTGATAACCCCATAACTTTGGGGATGTTTGTGGTTTAAATCGTCCTTTGGACTGCTAAAAACATGGGTTGTTGAATGAAAACACTTGGTCCACATTCCATCCATAACAATCTTGGAAGCAATAGCTTCTTCCATTAACAGTAAAGCTCCTGAACTCAAAGTTACATTGCCCAAAACTACAGAACCATGTTGCCAGAAAAGAATGGTAAAAAAGAAAGTGACAAGAAAACACAAGAGAGAGAAAAGTAGGACTCAATAGAACTTGGAAACCATGATTCCTACAAATATTAGCAGCACAAATGGTGCGGAAATATGAGACGGATTAGAAGCTGATGTCGTGGTCACCACCGGTCGGATTCCTGGATTCGCTGTAGGAGCTACTGAAACTAAGGGAGGAGATGCCAGCAATGTTTGCAGGGTCGGTTTAGCGGCCGGTGGCTGTGCCATGGCTGATGCTTTGGAAGCTGACACAATAAAGAAAGAAAGAAAGAAAATTTCATTAGAGCTAATATTGCATATAGTGTTTCCCAAAATCTCACACACCACATTCAACAGTACTAAATGCAAAAATCTATTAGTTCAATTGTACCTGGAGCTGGTGGAGGAACACCAGAGCCTGCAAAGTACAAGAAAAGAGACCAACAAAAATGTAATAACTATCCTTTTAACACAAATAGTAGAAAGGAATAGAACTGTTGGTGAATTCAAGGAAAAAAAAACACTTTCATCGGACGAAAATAGTTTAACCTTCACATTGTATTGGCACACCACCATGGCATGCACGAGGGAGTGAAAGTGCGAGGCTCCGGTTAAAGGGAAATGAAACAGGGACATTCCCAATTAGCAGAAGACAAGCGCAATCCAAGCTAGTACTCATTAGAGACTTCACTGAATTGCAGCAGTCAGCAGATGGTGAAGAAGCCCCATTGCTGGTGCTTCCTGTGATGTAATTTATGCAAGGGGTGAAGCTGGTGATCATTGAATTGGTGCAGGCTGTGCTAATTTGTGCATTAGCCGAAGAAAACAAGAAGACTAATAGAGTTCCAAATACTGCTGTGACACCTAATAAAGCCTTAAAACTTTCCATGATTTTATTTTTTAAGAAAGTGAGGGACAACAAAAGTGCTTGAAGCGTTTTTGGATTAGCTAGGTAATTTATAGAGTGATGGGTTTTAAGGGTTTTTGGAGGGAAAGACTGGTAGATTTGAAGTGGGTTTTTGGAGCTCAACTACATAACTAACTTTTATTATCAAGGGACCCTTCAAGCTTCAACTGATTGTTATGAAAAGCAGAAAGTCCAAGTTTAGTAGGTGTGTTAGTTATGTTGCTAATTAAATTATATATATATATTAATGTTTGCATATTGCACCAACTAAAAGAGTTTTGGCCAACCATATACACCAATTTGTTTGTCTTTTCCATGGATATACAATCCCAATTTAGATTATAGTAGTCTAAGCAATAGATTATAGATTATAGATCATCTTAAATAAAGTTTTATTCTGCCAATACAAACAATAGGATTCTACTCTCCAATCTTTATAGCTAAGTTCATGAGCATGCATATAGTGAGAACAAAATGTCATATTAAAAGCTTCCACAAATGCAGGAACAGAGTCTAAGACAATCCCTTCAACATATGGTGCCTCTTCTGGCGGAAGCCACATCAAATTGCCTATTTGTCTTGTCGCTTCTCTCTTCTTCAGTGGATTATTTGCTCTCTCTGCCTGATTGTGACTTTGATATTGTCAGGAGGCTTGTTATAGTATTCCGTTCATGTTTTTTTCTTGTTCTTGAAAGAGAGTGATTGTATAGTAGTTATTATTATTATTACTATTATAGTTAGTGTAATTCTTTGTATGTTTTTTTTGGGCCATTATGGTGACACCCCTCTTTTTTTTTTGGGAGAGGAAAGAGGATAAGATTGGATGTTGTATGTGCGTGTTAGATCTTGCACAATATAAACACGAGAACAGATCTCTCCCTTAGTGAACTCAAGTGAGTCAGTCAAGTGGTCAACCCTACTGCTTGGAACAGCCTGTGAGGTCCGATGGTAACCTGAAACGATAATGAGAAACCCTCGTGGATCAACGGAACGATCCAGTAAGGCTGAGGAAGGTCCCTGGAACAAAGAAAGACAAGTTAGAAGGGCGTCGAAGTGTTTTTCGACGTATCTCCTCCGACGATCAAATCAGTTTTTGAGAGAGAGGAAGAAGAAAACACTGAGTATATGTTTGAGCAAAGGTTTCACCTTCTTCTCTTGTCTTTTGTGAGGAGTATTTATACCTCAAATACTCACGATTGTTGTCAATGTGGTCAGTAGGTGATCATTAGATACAGGCAACGTGCGCACTGATTCCTACGAGGAATGTCTTCTATTTTAACTACTCGGGATCCCGAGCAACTAAGGCTGTGTCATCGACCTGCCGACTGTTCAATGAGCTCCTCTCGGCAAGGATGTAATAAATGTTCAGCCTTGGAGACATTTATTACCTTTCACTTTCGAGCCTTACCGCATTAAATGTTATCTCATCAAGGGAATGATGTAATTAAATGTTTGCTTTCCCAAGTCGTGTGTCAGCAAGGGCATCTGATTTTTCTGTCTCTGATGTGANTCCCTGGCTCCCCCTGATCTGATATCATCACATACTCATTTGAAGAATATTTTCTGGATGACTGTTTTTCTCTAGTAGATCTCCTTAACGGTGTCTGTAGTAGTGGTTCTTGGGGTGGTTGCTCTCCCTCAATCTCTGGCTCAACATCATCTTCTGCTGCATCATCATGAGGTGTTTGCACTTCCTCATCAATATCATGAACAGCAGAGGGATTGAGAGGATCTAAATCAACAAGATCATCAGTACTAGACTCAGCTGACTCAAGCTTGTCGATGTCTTCAATAGTCTGATCTTCCAAGAAAACAACATCTCGGCTTCTGACAACTTTCTTGTCAACTGTATCATACAACCTGTATCCAAATTCTTCATGCCCATAGCCAAGAAATATGCATTGCTTTGCTTTTGGATCAAGCTTGGACCTTTCATCTTTTGGAATATGAACAAAAGCTCTGCAGCCGAATACCCTCAAGTGATCATAGGAGACTTCCTTCCCTGTCCAAACTTTCTCTGGCACATCACCATTCAACGGAACTGAAGGAGACAAATTGATAAGATCAACTGCGGTCCTCATTGCCTCACCCCAAAAGGATCTTGGCAATTTAGAATGTGAGAGCAAACATCTGACTCTCTCAAGAATGGTGCGATTCATTCTCTCTGCAACCCCGTTCTGTTGAGGTGTCTTTTTAACTGTCTTTTCATGCCTGATACCATGATTTGTGCAATACTGATCAAATGGTCCAATATATTCACCACCATTATCCGAGCGAACACATTTCAACTGTCTACCTGTTTCTCTTTCAACCTTGGCCTGAAAAATCTTAAACACATCTAGAACTTGATCTTTAGTTTTCAGTGTATAAGCCCAAACTTTTCTAGAGTGATCATCAATAAAAGTGACAAAGTATAGAGCACCACCAAGTGTCCTAACTTTCAAAGGACCACATACATCAGAATGTACCAAATCTAAAACATGAGATTTTCTAGATGCAATGTTTCTACGGAATGATATTCTGTTTTGTTTACCATGGAAACAATGAACACAAGTTTTCAAAGGCGTACCTTTTATCCCCACTAGAAGCTCTTTCTTGGACAAAACTTGCAATCCTTTTTCACTCATATGTCCAAGCCTTCTATGCCATAAATCAGTGGATGAGTCATTCTCTAAGGTATTCACAACACCCTTGCAGATTTTTGCTTGCATAGTGTAAAGAGAACAAGTCTTCTTTCCTTTTGCTACCACTAGAGAACCTTTGGAGAGCTTCCATTTTCCATTACTGAAATTGTTGATGTAGCCTTCATCATCTAACTTTCCAGCAGAGATTAAATTGAGTCGAATATCTGGTACATGCCTCACATCTCTAAGCAGCAATTTGCATCCAATATTTGTTTCCAAGCAAATGTCACCCATGCCGACAATTTTTGACACATCTTCATTTCTCATACGGACATTCCCAAAATCACCTTGTGAGTAAGAAGTAAAGAAATCAGCCCGCGAAGTAACATGAAATGAAGCTCCAGAATCAATTACCCAATCCGTCTCTTGGCCAATCAAATTAACGCTAGCATCATCACGGATAATCATGAGTTCATCATCGGTAACTACAGCTGTATCAATTTGCTTTTTCTCTGAATTTTTCTCTTTGTTCTGCTCCTTGAACTTGAGTTTTCTACATTCCCGCTTCATGTGCCCTTTCTTGTGACAATAATAGCATTCAACATCCTTTTTTGACATCGAGCTTGAACGACCTCTAGATTTATCACGGTTGTGCGGAACCCTACTCTTACTCCTGCCTCTCCCCCGGTTTTCCATTACAAGTGCCTCGGAGTAAGAAGAACCTGATGATTTTCTTCTTGTTTCTTCATTCAACAAACTGCTGGTAACTTGACTCATTGTTACCACTCCATCAGGTGCGGAGTTACTAACTGTGACCACCAAAGTTTCCCAGCTTTCGGGAAGTGAACTAAGAAGTAACAAAGCTTGCAACTCATCATCAAAAGTAATTTTCATGGCGGCCAACTGATTCACAATGCTCTTAATCTCATTCAAATGCTCTGCAATAGAAGTACCCTCCTTATATTTAGAGTTCACAAGCTTTCGAAATAAAAAGGCTTTATTCACTGCCGTCTTTCTATCATACAAACTCTCCAATTTGGTCCAAAGACCATGTGCAGATTTTTCTGTAGAGACATGATGAAAGACACTATCATCAATCCATTGCCGAATAAAACCGACAGCTTTCCGGTCTAGCTTTTTCCACTCGTCATCTTTCATCCCTTCCGGTTTGCCACTATCACCCTCTATGGGTCCATTCAAATCTTTACAAAATAAAAGATCTTCCATTTTAGTTTTCCAAGTCACCCAATTTGTGCCATTGAAACTAACCATACGTCCAACGTTGCCGTCCATAATTCACACACAGAAATATAACGAATCGGAACCGAATTAACCAATTGCTTTGATACCAGATGTTGGGAAAATAGGCTTTCCCACAAGTATAAATCAATGGAAGCAATATAAATAAAATAACAGAAAATAAATAAGCACACAAGATTTACGTGGTTCCCTCAAATAACTTGAGGTACATCCACGACGACCGGTAGGTCAGTTTCTTCCACTATCACCAAATCAGATTACAAAGTGGCCAAAAGGCATAAGCCTTACAAACACACCAAGGTGTAAATCACAAGAGGAAAATACCTCACAAAATAAGTGAACCAAATCTCCAAGAACAAACCGCAAGAAACCCAAATATCAAGTGAAGAAATGTTACCCACTTGAAGAACAAATTTGCAGATTTTTCTGGCACCAAAAAGGAGAAGAAGAAGGCTGAATTTTTGTTGAACCAAAGACTGCCGAAAATATGTCTTCTTGCCAAACCAACAGAGAAGAGATGAACCAAAGAAAAAGACAAAACTTATAGGTGGCTGCCAAATTCCTTTTAACTTGAAGACTCCAAACCAAGTCTTGGATAAGAGTCATACACGGGTAAGCCACCAAAAAATTAGGAAATTGATGAGTCCCACAAAGGAGGGAAACCCAACATTAGTTGCTATAAGCAAGCCAATTGAAGACAAAAAAAAAGTTTTTTGGCTGTTGAATGGTCTAGGTTCTGAATATAAAGCATTTGTCACAACCATGCTTAAACCACCAACACCATGTTACAATGAGATCATAACACTTTTGCAAAGCCATGAAACATGACTGCACATGAAATGCAAGTTTCGAGTACTCCAACAGTTGCCTGTGTGGGTCAAAAGACACGTGCTCTTTTTCAAAAGAAACAAGGTGGCAATAATTTCTCTTTAAGAGGTAGAGGATTTACTAAATTCAGCCAACATAGTAAGGGCAATCATACTTTTAGTGCTTCACTCAATACCAATAATCAAGTGTCCCAGCAATCGAATCCAAGAGAGCATGGGTAGATATTTTAATTTTGGGTCCAGTGCATCTTGTCAAATTTGCGGTAAGAAA